TGAGCTATATCCTCAGAAGCCATCTGTGGATATAGTGGATCTGTCTGTGGCAATGACAGACTCTATCTTCCCTCTATCATCTGGATGACACCCCACAGGGAACATAAGGGTGTCCCTGATGAAACTCTGAGCAAACCTGAAGAAACGTACGCGAGGAAAGGGAAGAGGAGATGAAGAGATGAAGAGATGAAGGGAAAGAGCAACCGAGCAGGATGCTGGGTCCTGTCCTCAGTCCACCATGATAATCCTGTGTGCATGTGAACTGGGAACAGAAATGCCACCTCTGAATCTTTTTTTTTCCTTTGTCAATCCCTCAGCTGCCATTATAGTGACCCACAGGTTTGCAGAAACCAAAGGGACGGTACATTTCTCTCTCCCTCTCTCTCTCTCTCTCCACAGGAGTAGTATTAGTATTAGTATTTTTAATATTGTCAATTCAAGACGGATAAAAGAGAATGCAAGTTGTGTTCTTGACAATTATTGAAGTACACATAAAACACAACAAGGCCTTCAGTGTTGTCCATTGTATTCGCTGTGTAAACCGTTTATTCTTTGAGGGTCGCTAATCCCAGCTGACATTGGGTGAGATGCAGGGTACAGCCTGGACAGATCCAATTAACCAAACCATCTGCATGTCTGTGGACTGTGGGAGGAAGCTGAAGTACATGGAGAAAACATACAAACATGCAAACTCCACACAGAGAGACCCAAGCTGAACCGGGATTCGAATCAAGAACTTTCTATTGTCATTGTTAATCTGAAATCTGAAATGTCCCTTTATCTACCAATTAAGTGGAGTAAAGTACAAAGTACAAATGCAGTCATAGTACAATACAGACAATAATACTTCAGTAATACCACCAGAGGTGTTAATACAAGTGTGAAGGTGTGAACTTGTCCTATAGCACCATCACATCCTAAAGAGCTCATGCATGAGAGCACTGTTGCTCCCCGGCAGCAGGAGGCAGAGCGTTCAGCTGTCAGACTCCTCTCCTGTGGAACCAGGAGCCCTCTCCACTTCTATAAAGCTCTCCTCTTTAGTAAAGCTTGTAGTTATAGGGCTGGCTCCGGCTTGGCTGGAAACATCCCTATAGGTCTGCTGCTGTGGGCCTATACTGCAGGGGGGGACTTCCCATGATGCTCCTCTCCCTCTCTATCTGAATAGATTCATATCTCATTAATATATATTACTAACCTGGCTCCTTCCCTCTCCTGTAGTTTGGTGCTCTCTCATGTCTGTACTGTCTCTGGAGCTCTGGAGTCTGGATCTGTGATTGTAGTCTTATTATTATTTTTACTTGTACCATTGTTAGTGTTTTGGTGGTTTTCCCTCTCTCTTGCCGAGGTTTAAGGGCAGAGGATGTCGCACCTTGTTAAGCCCTATAAGACAAATTGTGATTTGTGAATATGGGCTTTATAAATCCAATTAAATTGAATGATTGACGGTACATCTGTGTGTCATCTTCGCTGTTTCTCTCTCACGACCAGACGAGGCAGATGGTCGCCCACTGACAGCTTGTTCAAGGTTTCTTCTTTTCCACTGCGTATCTGTTAATAATATTGTAAGGAGTCCTTGACTTGACAAACAAATATGACAGCAGCTGTAGTTTGCAAGTAGATTCACTGATGTAGAACATATAGTTTCCACTCCCTGAAAGTGTGCACCGGCTCCAGTCAGCGGTCCTCTCAGAAATGAATTCCGTGGGGTTTCTGTCTTACTTCTCTCGCCGGCTTATGATTTATTCATATAGAGAGTAGAGCATTCCCCCACACACCGCCGCACCCTGTACCCACAACCCCCCACCTCATTGGAAAAATCCAATGTGTGGAAACGCACTGTAAAATAAATCCAGCTTTGTGTCCTGTAAAGTCTGTGTTTTAATTAAATGTATGTGTGCAGGTTTTTGTGCACAAACAGGGCAGATAAGAAGAAGTGACCCATGCACTTTAACCCACAAAGCCGGCAGCGGCCTGCCTCAGGTTGCTTGCTTTTTTTTTCATGGCACATCCATTTATAATGCACCATAGAAACTACAAAGGTGGATGGGAAGTGGACAAGCGAACAGACGATGAGACACAGAGAGAGACGAGAGGCACATGTGACACTTCAAAGCATTTTTAATGTGCCATCAGGGAAATTAACAAAAAACCTTTGTCCTCAAACACAACACTAAGGGTTAGGGTACATCCAGACAGGTGATGAGATTTATAAACTGAAAACTACTGAGTGACATGGATGTATGTCATGATGCTCATAAAAAATGTGTGACCCCACGTGCCTTTGCACTCAACCTGGACACAACGCAGTTATGTACAAACGCACTCTCATCGCATTTGAGGAGCGATGCTACGCTGTACCATTTCGAAGGCTCCTTCAAATGTGTCCTTCCATCCTCAAGACACAAAGGCTCCAGTGGACGGATCCTTCCCACGCCAACTTATTGCAGGCTTCATTGACAAATGGTTTTTCAAAGAGGAGGGAAGTCCAAGGCTTGAGCATAACGCTTCAACTAGACAGAAAGGTTTGGTTCTCGTGTTAAAAACCCCCAAAACATGGGGCATTTAAACTTTCAATGTGTGTTAATCTGTTCCTACAGCAGCCGGGGCTACGTAGACCACATCCTCTGGGGGATGCAGCCCCTGAATTGAGACACAGCTACTGAAAGCTGTGAGTTGAACTTTCATTTCTCCCTCCAGTTTCCTCGTTCTTCCTCTCACCACATATCTTTTCTTCGCCAGCTGTCCCAGTAGACGGCCTGCGTGTGCAAGAGAGGACTCACTGTTACAAGGGTCATGCAATCGGCTGACATTATCATGTTGGAGGATTTACTTTGTGTGCCACAAGTACGGTTTTTCCCCGACTGCTGATGGCCTTTAAACTGCACATATTTCAAATTCTAAACATCTGTTCACATTGCACATATCTTTAATAATAATTTTACAATGTTTCATTTAGATATTTATGCTTGAACCAACACACCACAGCTGATTCCTTGTAACCTCCTTGGCAATTAACCCTGATTCTGATTATT